CACCCAGCTGTCTCTCCAGAGGAGGGTCCCGCCGCCCCGGCACTGACACTTGGGGCCGGGTGGTTCCCGGTGGCAGGGGCTGGCCTGTGCTCTACAGAACATCAGCATCGCTCTGGTCTCCCCCTGCTTGGTGCCTGTAGCCGCCCCCCACCCCCGCGTGACAAAGCCACTCCCCGAGGTGGCTGTGTGGCCCCTGGTGGGCCGGGTCGGCCCCGGAGCCCACGCTCCTACGCCCTGTGCCATCTTGCTGGAGCAGAGTGCTGCCGGGGCGCCAGGCACCTCTGCTGAATGGCGGCCTCCAGCTCCGCTCAAGGCCCAGGACGTGACAGAGTCTGGTGACGTGGAGCTGGGTGGGCTCTTCCTATGCCGGCCCTACAACAACACTGTGCCTTTGAGGGGGGTGGGTCCCCGGAGGGTACTTCCGCGGGGGAGGGGACAGGCTCCACTGCAGTCACTGAACTGCGCAGTGGCCCTCGAGCTGCAGCTCAGAATCAGGTTGAAGGCAGGGCTTCGGTTGCTCCAGTTCAGCTGGGCATGACCGCAGAGCTCCTGGGGCCTTGGGTTGGCGGCCGTGGGAGGGGTTTCCCTGACCGGCGGTCCTGCATCCGCTGTACCGAATGAGCAGCTGATGCACAAACCTCACCCATCTCCCCTTGGCCCTCTGGACACCCGCAAAGCGCCAGCCTTCCCGGGCCACGTGACGGGAATCCTGAGTGTCACGGCACACCAACACTCACCTGCAGCCTGCTGCCCGCCCGCAGCACCCCTTTGGCAGGAAGGCCCCGGCCCGCAACCCTACTTCTGACGCCAAGCTCTCTCTTGGTTGTAAGACGCAGAAAGCAAGGCAAGCAAAGCTGAAGACTGTTAGTATTAATATTTACTAACATAAAGTACATATAAAACTTACTATGTAACAGACACTATCCTGCGCACTTCACACTGAGCGCTAAGCCAGTCTTCGCGCTATGTCTGTAAGGCACAAATTGAAATGGGGACTTAACGCGGAAAAGGAGACGGTGGTGGACCTAGCACCCAGTAAGAGGAGGCCTCTCAGGACTAACTCGCAGTTCTCCGTCACTGACACACTGGGTGCCAGCCATTGCTGGCCTGCAGCACCGGTGATCAAATCCATGGCTGTGCATGCACCAAAGTCCTGGTGGGGGCGGGGGGGAGACAGTCTAACACATGCACCCCCTCCAGGGGCTCTGAGTGCCAGCAGGTGGCAGGGCCAGGGTGGAGGCCTGCGAGGGGGACGTGCTTTGCTCAGAGCTGGCCCTAGACTGCGTGCTGACGGCTGACAGTGGAGGCAGAGGGCCCCCAAGGCTCCTGAGCTATGAGATGGAGCACTTGCTAGTGTCATGAGGCCTCAGAACTTGGAGAGGTGGGCGCACCCTCAAAGTCCCACAGACCAGCTCCAGGGAAGGGTGCTGCAGCATCCCTGCTCACCCACCACCCACGCCAGGGCGCTCACCACCAGCAGCGGCTCAGCCCTCATCAGTGGCTCTGCCTCCCCCTCTCCCTGCAGCTCAGTGACGGCTCCTCTCTGCCCTCACCCCAGGCCACCAGGTGTTGAATCACCAAGTCCGATGCCCCACCTCATGGCTTCTCCTCCCCCTCGACGCTTCCCCTTCCTGGATCCACCCCGCTCCCCACCACCTCAACTCGAATTTCTTCTGGTGTGATTCATCGAGGGGTGAAGGTTAGCAGGGAGCAGAGGAGATGGCCAGTGACAGGAAGACAAAGAACCGGAGGTGAGCATCAGGGCGGTGATGCCAGCTGGAGGAGAAAGGCCGCTGGGACAGACGGAGGTGAGGGAGGGGGCACCTCTGACCCGGGCAGCGCGCCAGCCTGGGGCTCAGGTGGGATGGCAGTCTATGTTGCTGTCTGTTGAGCTCATCCTAGGTGTCAGGTGCTGGGCTAAGTGCCTTCAGAGGCCGTCTCCTTGTGCCCTCAAAACGGCCCCCCGAGAGCCCCACAGCCCACCTTCAGGAGGTACTGGTTTCGCACCTGCTGGAACAAGTGAGCACGAACTCACACCACCACCGGCCATTCTCTCAAGCTCTGCAGGGCAAGAATGGGGTCTCGCTGGGCTAAGATCACGGCCTCGCCAGGGCTGGCTCCTCCTGGCGGCTCTCCTGTTCCCTGGCCGCCCTTCCCAGCTTCCGGGGGCGCCTGCCTCCCTGGCACAGCGCCCTCCTCCGCCCTCAAGGCAGGGGGAACAGGCTGAGACCTCGTCCACCTTCGGCTCTGGTTCCCCTTTTTCCGCCCCTCTTCCAGCTTTAAGGAATTCTGTGACTACACTGGGCCCAGACAATCACTGCATCTCAAGTCAGGCTGGTTAGCAGCTTCACTCCATCTGCAAGTTTAACCCCCCTTTGCTGTGCAGGGAACATGCTCACAAACCCCGGGGACGGGGGTGTGGACGTTTGGAGGAGACCTCATTCTGCCCCCTGCAGACTGCCCTCGAGCACACCCATCTCACATGGAAAATACACTCACCCCACACTCTCAACAGCATCAAGTCAAGCCCCAAATATCATCTAAGTCACCTCAGTCAGGTGATCTGTCCTAGTGCAAGACCCCTTTCCACGTGCCACCTTTGACACTAGAAATGCTACCTGCTTCCAAAATACAAAGGTAGGACAGGCACAGGACATTTCCATCCCGAAGGGGAGACAGTGGAAGGAAGTGGGCATCACTGGGCCCAGCCAGGAAAACTCCACGAGATGCCGTCAGGGCCTGGGAATAACTGTGTGGCTCAAGGTTCTCCCCTCTGGGCTCACAGCTCCCCCTGCAGGCCAAGCCAGGGTCTCCTGCCCATAGGACCTGGGGGTCAGCAGCTCCGACTCCCTCCTCCCTGTGCACCCTTGCATCCTAGCTGGCAGCATTTCTGCTGTGTGAGATTCTCAGGGACGGTGTGGGTCTCTTGTATACGCCGTGGGGATTCGCTCCACCACACAGGAGGTGCCTCCAGATCCTTCCAAGAAAATCTTTTCTTCTGTTTTGGCTTTTGCTGAGCGGAAGGAGGTAAATGGCTGTTGGTCACACAGGACTGATCGCCCTGACCTTGCTGGTCTTGCCAAGGTGTTAACCAAAGGCTGTCCACCTCGACTTGTTCTCTAGAGCACATTTTCTGACCGTGAACCTCCTGTCCTTTGGCTCGGCTGAGAAGTTCCCAAATCGCCAAGTGTCAGGTCCCTTTTGTTCAAGAGCTCTGCCTTCCATCTGACTCTGGAACTCCCCCACCTGCCTTGCCACCATGAGCAGCAAGAAACGGGACCGCACCGCTACCTTGCCTGGAAATCTTCTCGGCCAAACATCCTGCGTGGATGGATCCCAAGTCCCGCTTCCCCAGAGCTAAGGGGCAGGACTCGGCGGAGCTTGCGGCGAGGCAACGCCACACGTCCGGCCTCTGCTCCCGCTGACACGGGCCCTCGTTTATTCCAAGTCTTGGGCAGCAGACACGTCAACGTCCAAACTCCCTTCTACCAATCGTCTTGCTTCAGAAAACCGAGTCTTTTTCTCCTGTGCCCCTCGAAATTCTTCCAGCCTCTGCCACTGCCTCACCCCAAGGCCACTTCTAAATGTTACATGTTTGCTATGGTAGCACCCCACCCAGGGACCCAGATCCACATTTCTTTCCTATCCCCGCTGTGGCCGCTTACCACAAACCTACTCGTTTGCTCATGGCGCAGCTTCGGAAGACTGAAGTCCAAGACCGTCCCCACCGGGGGACCATCCTGTGTCAGCATGGCTGCTTCATTGTGAGGCTCAGCGGGGAGAAAATGTTTCCTTCCTCTTCCAGCTTCCTGAGGTGCTGCACTCCGACTCAGGGCCCTTGCTCTCCCCTTCGTCAAGCCTGTCCTTCCTCTGCTGATACAGACCCCTGTGTGGACTCCTGTGCGGTTTCTCGCCTGCCAGGACAGAGCTAACAACGGGGTACGGGTAGGTAAGTGGGCAGCCTGTAAGGGCACAACTGAGACCCCACTCCGAGTGTGCCCACTGAAAGTTGAGTCCTCGGCACGCAGCCTAGCTGCCGGCGGGACCGGGACCCGGGAGCACCTCTCCGTGTGGTGGCTGAGATGCAGAGGCGAGAAGGTTTCCCTGAGGCCCAAGTGGGCCGGATGCTTGGGCCCTTGCAGCAAAGAGCCAGGCAGCTGGAGGAGAGCACAGGGCACTGCCCTCACCCTCGGGAGGTGTGCAGACTGGATCTCATCCTGGCTGCCTGTCCCTCCCTGGGGAGACTTTCTGAGGCCCTGGGACCAGTGCTGTGCCCACAGCCCCCGTGCACCCAGGGATTCCACGGCTCCTTCCTGAGTCAGAGCAACACTGACCACGTGTGTGTCCTGGGCACCTTTCTACAGACACAGATGTCGTGCGTGTGCACTCACACACAGAGACCACCCCCCCCACCGTTTATGGGGGTGTGGGGGCTGAACGGGACAGCAATCCAGAGAAGGCTGTCCCCAGGCAAAGATGTCAGGGCAGGGCACCCTCTTCCCTCTCCTCTGCCCGCACAGGACTTAGACCGACTCCAGGGTTCCCGTTAGGTACCCGTCCCTCCCGCACCTGCTCCCCAAGCCCTGCCTTGCACCTGTACTCACTCTGCTTCCGAGCTCTCTCCTATGCTCACCCCTCGGAGCACACTGCCCAGGCCAGAGCTGGCCCTTGCAGCAGAGCCCCCGGGGGTCAGGCTGGCCAGGAAGCCCCCCAGCCCCCGCTCCAGAGCCCGGGAAGGCACAGTATAAGAGACGAGACCAAGGCCCCCCTGGAGACTCAGGAAGCAAGGCATGAGCCCCACATCCCCAGCTTCCCGAGGTCCCGGGGGCCGGCTGTGGACACAGGTCAACAGGGGAGCCCATGGTCACCCCTGGCAGGAAGGGCCCGGCCTGGGGTGGGCAAAGACCACGTGAGGGGGCCAGGAAGCAGGCCACCCTCAGTCTCACACTAGTCCATGCACCCTCAGCAAGGGTCGAGACGCCGAGGATACACACAGGCGCTGACCTGAGAGAATTCTTTTTATTACGACCGAACAGGTGAGCCGAGCAGGGACACCCAGCCTTCCGCCAACAGCCGCTTCTCCACACAGGCCGCTCGCCCAGGCACCTCAGTCCCAGGCCCAGCAGTCCAGGGGCCCTCGTGGGCAGAGGGGCGGGAGGGAGGGGGACACGGCCACAGGGTCAGGGCCCCTATGGGGCACCCCTGGCCACCCCTACCCTACCCCACCTGCTCTGAGCCGCCAACAGCCAAGATCCAAGCAAGGCCGGGAGAGGGAGGTCTGCGGGGGGACGGGGGGAAATCTCTAGAATAACCCCACCTGCAAACAAACCAAAGTGAGCCAGAGTCCCTCCTGGGAAGGAGCCCCAGCTCTCACTGGCATATTTCTTTCAAAACAGCAGAGCCCTCAGGGGCGGTGGGGGCAGGGGCCACACGGAAGACCAAGGAAAGGAAAGCCCCGCGGGAGGGGGAAACTCAGACTGGCAGTCCCATCAACGTTGTCGAGCAAACGAATGAAATCCGAAGGTCCTTCTTGACAAGCGGCACTCATCCATCCAACAGGACACCCCCGGCGGGAACCAGTCCGTCACGCGGCCTGCCAGCGTCCGGGGAGCCCACACTCAGTGTGCCCAGGCCGGGTTGGGGGGGGGGCGTCAACCTCTCAGACCTCCCGCCGAGCGTGCCCGGGACGTGTGCGCGCACACGCAGGCACACGAACCACCGTCTCTCTGCACACGTGCACGCCTGTCCAGCCGGGGGCTCACCTCTCCTTCACGTGGTTCTGTGCCCCCGCGCTCCCACCGCTGGCCCCGTCCCCGCCGCCCCCGCCGCGGCCCCCGCCGCTGCACAGCACCTCCGTGAGGTCGTCCATGACGGCGGTCTCTTTGGGGTCAAGCAAGTTGAACTCCCTGGCAAAGAGGATGAAGTGGACGTAGAGGGTGTTCAAGTGTCCGTGTAGCTCAAGGGCCAGGGTCTCCTTGAAGTGGGACCAGTAGATGTGCGCCAGCACGTGGAACAGGTACTTGCAGATCTTCTTCACCAGGGACTCGAAGGAGCTGGGGAATTCTCTGCCTGGGGAGAGAGTCCACGGCATCACCCTACACTCCGCTCCGGCCACCACGCCCCTCCGAGCTGCCACCAGTCAGGACGGGGCTGGCCGGACCGGCTGGGCAGGCTCCAGGCGCTTTCTGCGGGAGCCGCCTGGAGGGCACCCTACCTGCCACCCTCTCCCCACCCAGCAGCCCACTGGCAGGCGCTCGAGTGACCCATCACCCTGGGCCTGGCTCCCGGAGCTGCCTGCGAACTGACCCGATGGGTGCTTGACGCTCTGGACCGGCTGCCTCTGCGTCAAGGGGCCCGTCACAGGCCCCCCCTCTAAGCCTGGACCCGGCCCTGGGGTTATGCTTGCTTCCATGACGGATGCTCTTGCGCTATGTGGCCCCGGCCACAGAGGACACTGGGAACCAAGGTGCATGGGACCTCCTGCTAGCCAAGCGCCACCCTCTGGCAGCTCTGTATTGTCCTGGAGCCCAAGCCGGGATCTGCCCAGGTTGGGATGTGGCCACAGTCCCTGCTTGTTGGCCGGCAAGTCCTGAGTAAGGTGGACTGCCACGGCCCCAGCCATGCGGGGCGGAGTGGGTGGCAGAAGCCACAGGTCCCAGAGCCTAGGGTGGGGGTGGGGGTCTTCACCCAGGCTGAGCTGACCCCTGCCAGAGGGCGCCTGCCTGGTTTTACACCCCAGGTCACATAGCTGCCCCTCCCCATGGGTCTGTCCCCCGCAGCCAAGCCCACCTAGCAGGGAGGAGCACCCAGCACCAGGGGAGGGACGTACCGTACTTCGTGGGGAACACGTCCTCATCAGTCACCAGCTTCTGCACAGAGCTCATGACAAAGTCGACGTACTGGGGAGCGGTGCACTTGACCTTCTTCCCCCGCTCATCATACCAGTAGTACTGTCTGTGGAGACAGAGGCGGCCAGTCATGGCGCCATTCCCGCCACAGCCTCCATGCTAATGGACAGGCCCTGGGAGGAGGCCAGCCCTCAACAGGAAAGGGGACTCGGCCCCGACTGCCACTAGCACCAGAGCCACCCACTCGGAGGTGGAAGGTCTGGGGTGTGACCAGGGCAGAAGGTGGCACTGCAGAGGGCAGGCCTGCCCCTGGGCACTGCCAGGCACCCGCAGGGAGGCCAGGCTGCACGAGCTCCTGGTGCCGCGTGCCCCACAAGGCCCAAAAACGGGCCCAGGCAGGGGGGCTGGTCACGAAGAGGCCCTAAGAAGCTGGCTAAACTCCCTGGTTTCCCCCAGGAAGGAAAACTCTAGCAAGGCCCTCCCGTCAATTAGAACGCCTGCCCTGGCACCCTCCCCACCACAAGGTGGCTCTGCCTGACCCCTCTCCTGCCTGCCCAGGCATCAGCGCAGGTGCTTCAGAGCACCTGAGGACACCCACACCAAGCCCTTTTCTGTGTCACTCTGGACAGCCTGTGGGCTCCCCATGCCAGGAAGAGCAGCCCGGCTTCTAGGGGCCAGGCTGAGGCCCAGGTCTGCAGTGAGATCCAGAGGACAGGGCCCGGTGCCCGGGCAGCATCACAGATACCTGCTCCACCGATTCCCCTGCCCCACGTGATGGCAGACACACCTAGCCACGGGTGCCAGCTTCAGCAAACACAGCTGAACCCAGAAACTGAAACATGTCTCCACATGTGCGGCCCTGAGACACTGGCTCCCAAGGGACACTGGGGACCGGCCAATTCAGAAGCAAGGAAGAGGACACGCTCCGTTTCCAATGTTCCTCTTGTTTTCATTTTAAATTGTCACACAGTGAAGATGACCTGTGTGGCACGTGGTCCCAAGCTTTTCACCCAGGCAGACAGCTGGGTGCCTCCCACAGCCAGGCACGGCTCCTGCTGCCCTCCTGCCCGCCCCGCCCCTGGTCAGTGCCCCGCACACCGGCGATGTCCTGAGCCAGGGGCTGACCCAGCCACGTCTGCGCGCACCAGCGGCCCCTTCCTTCTCACGCTGAGGTGAGCTCCTGCGCGACGGTGCCGGTGTGTCGGCCGCTCGCCGGCTCAGGCTGCGGCATGCACTCCGGGGCGGGTTCCCAGGGGAGCACAAGCTCTCACTTGCCTGAGGTGGACACTCAGGACTGGAACTGCCGGGTCAGGCAAGGGGAGAGCGGCGCTTCGGAAGAAGCCACCAAATCACTCCGGGGCTGGCTTCCGAGTCCCTCTGTGGCTCCGCCACCCACATCCTCACCAGCGCTGCGCCAGCTAACATGTGCTGTGGCAGGGATGTCTGAACCCCCATCCGACCCGCTGCTCGAGGGGCTCATCTGCTCTCCTGCATCCTCTCTGCTGGCCTGTGTGTCCAGGCCCAGGCCCACCAGTGACCAGGTTGTCTTCTTGCAGAGGAGCTGTGGGGCTTCCAGACATATTTTGGGCACGGGTCCCTTCCTGGGTACGTAGTCAGCCTGTGGTTTGTCTTTTCTTCCTTGTGACATTGTCCTTCTCTGAGCAAAACTTCTACATGTTGATTATGCTCAATTTACTTATTCTGTTTCATTAACGACCATGCCTTGTGTCACGGCCAAGAGCCCTTCACCTAATGGTAGATCATGAAAACTTCCTCATTTTCTTGCAAAAGTTACATGGTTTTACAATTTAGAATCCATTTGGAGTTAATTTTGGGATGAAGTGTTGGGACTGGGTCAAGATTTACTCCCTCCCCCCACCCTACCAATGACTAGTTTTTCCACAGCTTTGGCTGAAAAGGCTATCCTTTCTGCACCAAACTTCTTTTGCATCTTTGTCAAAAATCAAAAGGCCACATTTGTGTGGGTCTATGTTTGGACTCAGCTGCCCCCTTGATCTGTGCGTCTGGTCTTCTGCCCACGGCATGTGTTCAGTACTGGGAGGTGGGGTCCCTCCAGCTTTACTGCTCTTTCCCCAAAACTGTTGTCAAGGCACCAGCGGCTGCACCCTCCACGTATCTGGGCCGGCTCGTATGCACCCACAAGGTCTCTGCGGGGACTCCGACGGAGTCTGCCATGAACAAACAGGGCGGTCTGGGAGAGCTCCCGCTGGAGCTAGTCAAGTCTTCTGGGCCACAAGCAGGGTGTGCCTGCCACCCGTGCAGGCCTCCAACCGCGCTTGCCAGAACCTTGCACTTGGCAGCATGCGCAGCCTGTGTGCACACCCTGTGTGCCCTGAAGCACTGTGCTGTCCCCAGAGCCATTGGAAACGGCGCGGTTCTCAGGAGCTGGGGTTCCACCTGTATACCGCTTAGCATTTTCTACACGGTCATGCTGTGTAAAAGTGACAGGGATACTTTCATTTTTTTATTTTCCAGTTTGGACTCCTTTTGTTGCTGTCTTCTTGCCTTACTGAATTGCCCATCTTGAGTGAATTTTGGTATTTTGATTTTACCAATGAATGGGTCCATTTAAACTATCATATTTATGTATGTAAGGGTTTTTTGTGATGTTTCTTTAGTATCTGCTGAGTTTTTAGTGAAACCCCCTTCATTCCTTCTACTGATAATCTGCACCTTTTCTCTTTGTCAATCTTGCTAAAGGTTTGTCAATTTTATTGGCCTTTTTAAGAAATTGGCTTCTGGTTTCATCGATTTTCCTGTTTTCAGAAATCACTTGACAATTTCTACTCTATTACTTCCTGTCTTCTGCTCAATTGGGGCTTATTTTGCTCTTTTTTTCCGAGTTTTTTAATATGGAAACTTCGAGTACTAACTTGAGAACTTCTTTCAGAATAAACCCTAACCCGATAAATGTCCCTCCAGGCACAGCCATAGCTGCATCCCATCAACTCTGGACTGCTTTCATTTGTGCTCTGTTTAAAACATTTCTAATTCTAAGACTTCCTCTATGACCCGCAGATTATTTAGAAACATGCTAACTTCCGAGTGTTTGGAGGTTTCCCTGTTATCTTTCTGTCACTCATTCTAGTCTAACCCCACGACGTCAGGTAACTGGCTCGGCATGATTCTGATTCTTTCAAGTTAGTGAAGGACTGTTTTGTGAGCCAGGATGTGATCTATTTTGGGGACTATTCCATGTGTGCTTGGGAAGACTGTGTCCCTCGCTGCCGGGGGTGAGAGGCTCACCAGCCCACCCGACGAGCCCGCAACCTTGCTGACTTGGTGTCACCGGCTCCATCTGCCTCTAGGACAGGGGCACTGAGACCCCTACTCTGATTTTCAGGATTTTTTGTCTGTTTCTCTCAGTTCTGTCTATGTCCTTTATGGAAACGCTGCTGCCTGGAGCACATGCATTCAAGATCAATACTCCCTGATGAATGGACTCTTCTGTAAACGTGCACTCTTCTCCTTTACACCTCGTTATCTACTCTGCTCTGAGCTCTACTATGTGTGGGATTAATACAGTCACCCCAGCCTTCTTCTGTTAGCATTCTGTTGATACATCTTCTCTCTGCTTTTAGTTGTAATCTACCCACGTCACTGCCTTGTGAACGCCGTAGAGTTGGCTCAGTTTAAAAATCCATTCTTACACAGTGGAGCCCTTTTATCTGTGTTTTCACCTTCCATGGGGTCGATCCCTCGTGGTGAACCAGCGTCCAGAGGCAGATGCTCCTTTTCCCCACACAGTGGCAGAAGACGGAGAAACAATCCAAGGCCGCGTCATGACGCCCGCACCAGCCTCTAGCCTCCTCTCCTCACGCAGCCACTTCTTCATCTCACACGGTCACAAGAACGTGGGTACAGTACAACTAGCTTTCTTGAGACAGTGAGCACATGAGCACTTTTATCATAAGATACAGTCACGGTGGTCGTATTATCAGTTATTATTGTTACATTCTGTGCCTCATTCATAGGTTACATTTTGTCACAGGCACGTGCGCACACACACAGGGGTCAGTGTGGTCTGTAATTTGAGGCCCCCAACAGGGTCCAGGGGAACAGCCCCTGAGCAGCCTGGTAATCAGCATGTCTGCAACACGGACATTTGCTGTAATTTCTGGTGCGTCTGAATTTAAGTCTGCCATCTTCTGTCTACTACTTACTCCCCTTTGTTTCTCACCCTCTTATTTCTTCTTTCCTGCTTTCTTTTGGGTTACGTTTTAGTATTTCCTTTCAATTTACCTTAGAATTTGGCTATGTCATCTACACAACTTTTACAGAGGCTTCTCCTAGGAGTGTAAAATAATACATGCTCAGTTTTCCATGCTGTACTGAGAGCGCAGGCCCCCGCGGGCTGCTCCGTCTGGCCCACCAGACAGGTGTGGCTTCGGGAGCTCGAGGGGGGTGGTCCCCAGCCCCGTCTCCCTTGCTTTGGGACCCTTCGGAAGCTCCTGTGGAGCAGGCTGGCTGGCAGTAGGCACATCAGTCTTCCTCCTTCGGAGGAAGGTCTGTACTTCACGTAACTCTGGAAGAACAGGTTTCCTTGAATTCTGGGGCGACTAACTGCCTTTTCTTCACTTTAAAAACGTGGTGGGGTTTCCTTGTGGCCCAAGGCTTCTGACAAGAGCCATAGTCACCCGCCAGTGTCCCCGCAGGCACTGTGCTCTGTGAAGGCCTTCTCTTCTCAGCTGTTTCGTGATGGCGCATCGGTCTGTCCTACTTGGACTTCACTCAGCTTCTTGAATTTGTAGGTCTGTGTCAGCCACGCCTGGAAAGCTTCCAGCCATTATCTCCTCAAATACATTCTCCTCGTGGCCCTTTCTCTTCACCTTCTGGGACTCCAAGATACCCTCTGGTACCCACCCCTAGGGCAGCGGGAGGGTGCAGACAGGCCTCGGCCTCACTCGGGGCCCCAGGCAGACATGCTGGTTGGTCCCGGGGAGCAAGCAGCTCTGTGGAGTGGACCTTTTGCAAACCTGCCTTTTTCTCTTAAACTAATTGGATATCAAACAACCGCTAGGAAGGGGGTTGAGCCTGCCAGGCCCTATAAGTCTATAAAAACCCTGTGAAGGTGGCCACGGTTGAGAAGAACAAAGAGATGTGGGCTTAAAGTCCCGCCAGACTCCCAGGCTCACACAGCAGCACCAATGCCCAGGTGCAGGCCCGCTCAATACCAAGCCATTCGCTCTTTCAAGGAGTCTCTCTCTTCTCAAACACAGGGATGCCAAAGAGCACAGGGAGCAGAGGACACCGGCTTCCCCACCCGCCCACCCTACCGATCACCCCTGGCGCTGCCTGGTCAGGCATAGCCAGCAAGCATCCTACTGAGCACGCTACAGGCACGGCCCCTGTCCGCTGCCAGCACCTACTAGAGGTGTCTACTCTAGTAGTAGAGGGTCTACTCTAGGGAGGGCACTTCCCTCCCACATCAATGTCCTTCTGCCTCCGGCTCAACAGCCCCACCCTGCCCTGGGGCACCCCCTCCTGTGGCCAGTGGGGACACATGTAATGCCTGGGCTCCCATCGGTGGCTCTTTCTGGGTGACAGAGTGGAGAGCCGGCTACTGTCTCCATTTGCTCCCTCATGACCCAGCCCTGAGCTGTGACCTGCTGGGCCACAGGAGCTGGGTCTGTGCCCAGGAGCCTGGCCAACAGCTGTGTCAGCAGGAGGGACTCAGGACAGCACATGAAGCGTGTGTTCGCCAGCAGAGCCAGCAGCTCACGTGTGCCTGCATCAGCCCCTGACCTGCAGCCCTGACAATAAAGAGGAGGGGTGAGAAAGGAGCTTCCGTGCCTGTTCCTCAGTCACAACTGCCCCAGGCTGAGCCCCAGCATCTCCAGCCTCTTGTCCAAAGCCACCTTCCATCCCTTCTGCCATCAGGGACCAGCCATGCCGTGTGGTGACTCTCCTGCCCACACCCCAGTCAGAGTGGCTGCAAATCCAGCAGGCTGCTCCCTGCTGAGGACACAAATGTGCACAAGCTTCCAGAAGAGAGAGACCAGCACCCAAGCCCACTGGAAACTCACTGAGAAGGCGACCCGGCCCCACAAAGCCAGTCAATGAAGAAGGCACCCAGTGCCTTCCTCCAGCCAGTCTCTCCCTGTCCCCTCCTTCACTCCCTCCACACAGAGCAGGAGCTCATGGGAAAAGCCATCCCTTGGGGGCTGGCGGGCTACTGCCTGAGCAACTGACTCTTGATTTCAGCTCAGGTCATGATCTCACGGATTCAGCCCCCCATCAGGCTCTGCCCTGAGCGTTGTAGCCTGCTAGGATTCTTTCTCTCACTCTCTCTCTCTCTCTCAAAAAAAAAAAAAGAGCCACCCTTCAACTGGACACCTAAGTAAAGCAGCTTCATGACGCTCTGCTGTCTTAGGAGACCAAGCTGGGCACGTACTGTGGGCGCCCCTCCCTGCCACCGCCCGGTGCCTCCCCTGGCTGGGCTCTGCTTCTGGTGTCCCTGCCCCATAGGGACAGGAGATGCAGCCCCCACGCCATCGGGAGACCCTGCCCGGGTGCCGTGAGCAGGTCCAGGGTCTGAACTGCAGCCTGGCAGCCACTCACGTGTTGCACACGGCCATCGTCTGGCAGGCCTCTCCCGTGCAGAACTCGGAGATGGTACTGTACTGCAGGTTGACATGGTGGAAAAACGTGGTGGCTGCAAAAGAAGAGAAGGGGCAGGCGTGAAAACCACTACCACAGCCACAAGGAATGGCACGCCCTTCCCTGGGCCCGGAGCAGCCAGCACCTACCACAGACAGAGCCACACATCCCAGCGGAGAGCACCGGCCCTGGAAGCCGGCCGCCAGCCACTGCTGCGCGGGCCTGGGTGGCAGCTCGGGCAGCGCCAAGCTGGGCAGAGAGCCAGGGGCCACAGAGACCGAGTTCCCTCCGCGGGGGGTGGGGCAGGTGCACCTTCTGTGACCCTGAACCCCAGGCCTGCCTGGCAGGCGGAGGTAAGATCCACCCTCCCATCCCGTGGGCCACGGCCTTCCCATGACCTGGGCACTGCTGGCCTCGCAGCCACACTCCCGCCCCGCAGACACTCCCCGGCACGGCCAGGACACGCACTGTTGCTGGCCAGCCACTCGTTGAGGTCGATCTCCCGGGGCAGCACTACCAGCTCCTTGAAGCCGACATCAGTGATTCTGGACTTGGTGTACTCAGGCTCCAGGTACATCTTCTTCTCCTCCGCAGCAGGTTTCTTTCCATTGGGCTTTGCTTTAGACTTCCTGCCAGAGAGAAGGGAGCAGAGGGTCACTGCACAACAGATGCTGGCACAGAAGCCACGCGCTGGGCCAGAGATGCAAGCGGGACACAGGCGGCTCGGAGCCCACTGAAGGGGTGCGGAGGCCACGCTCTCAGGTTCCACCCGCCACATGTGGCACTGTAGCCATCTTGGCCCACAGGGCCACCCGGTGGGACCTAGGGAGGAGCATCCCTGGCCCAGGCCCCGATCCTTTCGTGCAGACGGCCCAGCGGCCCACCCTTACAGAGCACTGACCACATGCCAACACAGACCCGGCTCCCTGCACGACCCCAGGCTCCATCCCAAGCACACGGTGCAGGTTCCGGGCAGGGGCAGAGGGAAATCTGCTCTAACTACCACTTTGCACCAAAAGGTTTTTGTTTTTGTTTTGAAAAATAGTTCTTTTCCGTAACAACATGCTGTCATACAGAACAGAATGGACTTGTTATAGCTATTTTTATAGGACTAAATACATTTCTTTTGAAATGTCTTTTGTTTTCATTCAAATCCAGTGAGCATCAGTAGCTAAGCCCTGTGAACCAATAGTTCTTGGTGCTGAGGGGGCCCCTCCTTGGTGGGGGAGCCCTTAGCCTCAGAACCAGCCTCCCACCAGCGGCCCCAGAGGCCGGAGCCAAGGGTCATGGTGTGTGCGAACCAGGTACACAAACAAGATGGGACATCCCCAACAGGGACACGTGACTGACACAGTGGCCCAGAGCCCACGGCTGGGAACCTGGCCCGGGATGGGTTTGTCAGAAGTCACTGAATCTGTCACCCTGGAGCCCACACTGGGCAAACACGCCTCAGAGCAGAGGACCCCGGGGAGGGCCACCTACAGACAAGGCCCTTCTGGCAGCAACCACCCAATCTGGAGGGGCCAGGGGGGCCCCCGCCACCTAGCAGTCAGCTCAGAGGGGTGCTGCGACCCTCCTGCATCTGTAGAACCCCCCCAACCTTTAAGGTTTATTTTTTTTTAATGTTTTTACTTCTGAGAGAGAGAGAAAGAGAGAGCGAGGGTGAGCAGGGCAGGGTCAGAGAGAGAGGGAAACACAGAATCTGAAACAGGCTCCAGGCTCTGAGCTGTCAGCACAGAGCCCAACGTGAGGCTTGAACCCACGAATTGTGAGATCATGTCCTGAACCAAAGCTGGACACTTAACAGACTGAGCCCCCCAGCCCCCCCCCCCCCGCCGCCGCAACCTTTAAGGTTTTGAATTGGGTTTCTGGGAGAAAGTTTGAGAAATTAAAGGAAAATGCTTAATAACATGAATGAGTCTCTTGACTCTTAATGGAATTCTTTACTGGCAGACACTGTGACTTATAGAAGACAGAGTGCAACTCAATGCTATCATGAAGTCTTATTGACCAGAAAAGGCCACTGTGGCTATAAACTCTCAAAGAAGGATCATCTCCGTCCCAGGAGCACCCTCAGGCCTCAGGGCCAGAACCTCAGGGGAAGCAAGCCCCTGTGCCTCCTGCTCTGCGGGGGTGAGGGGCCGGAGTAAGCATGGCCCCCCCTGGCAAACCAGCAGGCACTACTGTCAGGATGGCCACGAGCCCACTGCACCAAGGGCCACCCTCCTCCACCTGGCCCCCTGCAAACTTTGGGGGCTGTGGTTACAGTGCTGGTTGGGCTGGGCCGCGGGGGTGATGGGCAGGCAAGCTGAGGACCTGGACTCGGGGCACGGTATATGCCAGGCCCCACCCACTCGTACCCTCGAGGTCTGTGGCGCCTGCAGGAGAGGCAAAGTAGCTCAGCGCCCAGCGGCCCAGTGGGAACACACCATGGGCCTCGGCCGGGGCACAGCCTCGTAGAAGAGCTGCTCTGCCGTCCTGACGACTCGGGGCTCCCGGTTCCCTGTGCGTCCCTCCCCCTGCCAGCCCTGATAGGAGTAGGGGCGAAAGGTCTCTGCAGCTCCCTGACCTTGTCCTTTTTGTCTTGTTTTAAAAAGTCTCTGGTGGTTTACTTAAGAGAAACAGGAAGGAAATATGTTCCCCGAATGCCAGGGAGATGTTTTCCCTCAGCTTCTCAGCAAATCTTCTCCTTAAAAGGCGACGTGTCTTCAGCCTCCTGGTGCACCACTGGGAGTGGCCAATGCCACGCAGGGCCATAGCGTCCTGGGGACAGGGCGGGACAGACCCCTGACCGGAGCTCCCAGCCCTGCTTGGGCAGGCCAAGCCTGGAGCACAGGCGCGGAGGTCTCTCTCTCCCCCACACACTTGCAGTGAGCACTTCGGGGGTGCCCTGGGCAGCGTGGGGTGGGGTTGTTCACTGGGGAAGTGTGGACATGAGCCTCGCAGGGCCAGGGTCCCGGAGGCTCCCACCCTTCCCCGGAGCATATGCTGAGGATGACCGGCTCCTGGGCAGGGGCAGGGGTCCAGGAGCTCTGCTGCTGCACTCAGATGCCCCCAGGTCATGGCGGGGGGGAGGGGAGGGGACAGGCGTTTCATTCCCTGCCCCCTGCCTTTCTCCTGACCCTGGTCTCTGCTACTGAATCACATGCCACCCTGTCAGAAAGCCTTACGTCACCTGCAGGATCTCCTGCGCCCAGAGCCCCAGGCGTGAGGGCCCAGCCCACAGGAGGCATTTCACCCCGTACAGCTCAGCTCTGCCACCACCCCCCCATCCCATGGCCGAGCATCCACCTGCTTGGCAGATTCTCCACTCTGCGTCTAGGCCCCACTGACCCAAACCCCTCACCTGTGCTCTACACGCACACCTGCCCGCACCTCACGCTGACTCACACCCAGCTATGACCACAGATGCTGGGCCTCGACCCCGCATCTAGGGGGCCCCATGATCACACGTGTAGGGATGGGCTGGGCTGGAAGCCAGTTGCCTGAGCACCTCCCTGCCCTGCCATTTAGGAGTCCTGTCACCCAGTGATCGAGGACAGCACGCACGTCAGAACCGCCACGCAAGGAGTGGCAGCAGGAACGGTGCGGTACAGGAGGCCGCTGGGGTCGCTCACAGGCCGCTCACAGACGCTGCCTTGGGAGGGCGTGGCGTCCTCCTGCCGGCAAGTCCATTTCCAGGGGAGCCTGGGAGCCCCTTCAGGCCAAGTCTCAGACAGCCGGGCAGGCAGCCCCGGGAGGACGCGGGCTGTGACCTGCAGGGTCACAAGGCCTCGGCCTCCTCTCCCTTCTCACCTGCTGCTGTCTGCACCGGTTCTCCTGCAACAGACAGGCAGACACACAGCACGTCCCCCCGGTTCCACTGTCCTCACCATCCAGGGCTGGCTCGGGACCCTGGGGGAGCAATTTGGGACGACCCTTCTGCCAGGCCAGCAGGCGCAGACTTCTGTGGACACTGGCCAGGGCCCTCTTCCCCTCAGTCCCACAAGCAGGCAGTACACGACGGGCTCTGACCCAAGGTGGCGGCAAGAAGGCACAAGCCTGTCTGGGGCTCGTCTAGGGACCCACAGGGCCTCCGTGCCGGCAAGGCCTGTGCAGGAGGGGCCCGCAAGCCCAGCCCCCACAGGGCCTTCCCACCCCAAGCTCTGTCCCATCCGCTGCCAAGACACTTGGCCCCTCTGGCCAAGAAGTGGCCATGACCCAGCCCCACTCCTCTGCCACGAAGAGCAGCAGGCCCAAGAGTTCAGAAAACACCTGCCTTCAGGCTGCTCTATGCGACACCGTGCTGGTCCCTGCCCTCTGTCCCTGTGGCCACATCAGTGGAGAAAACACCCTGTGCTCCCCATCCCACGGGCACTGGGCTCTGGAGCAGGCTCTGTCCAGCCACAGCCCAGAGGTCTGCCCAGGGCCAATGGCTGGGCTCCTCCCCCTGGCTCTCCCTCGTACTGCTCGCTGGGTCCCCCGCAGCTACAGTGAGAGGCTGGGGCCCGGTGCGGAGCTGCACTGGCGGGACCACATGGGGGACACAAGGCTTTGGCCCGCCAGGGTCTGCTGGGACCTCAGGGAAGAGACCGGCCACAGGCACAGGCAGATAGCCCCCAACACTGCAGAACCCTGCACATTGCTCTGGGTCTAGCGGGTGTGCTCCGAGTTTGCGTCATCCATTTGGGAGGGGCCCAGGCCCCGGTGAGAACATCTTCCCAGTGTCTCTCCACCCCAGTGGGTGCCTGCCCACACCCTCCCCTGCTCCTGGCACCAGTACTGCCTCTGCAGGAGTCCCCACACCCCACACATGGGCCCATATGCTTGGCCTGACATACTTCCTGTCTGAGGTCACACCACTGGTCCCACCAGGAAGGCCCCTGAGGTTATTCAGTGTGGCCTGGCAGTGACCTGGCATGCCATGATGCCCGCCCAACAGGCTGGGGGGTGTCTGCCAGCCACAGGACAGGAGTCTGCCCTAGGGACGCAGACACAACCTGAGGGACCCCCACGTGCCCAGGAACACCTGGGACGGCTTGGAGCTGAGGGAGCACTGTGTGCGTCATGCCGATGCGACGCGCAGTCAGCTCAACAACGCGCAGGGCTGGCCCCACAGGCAGACGCAGGAGTGCCCTGGCTGGCCCGGCCCCACCGGAAAGGAGCAACAAGCAGCTGTAAGATTTGAACACGGGAGGCCTCCCGAAACCCTCAGCCATGCTGGGGCAAGGGGCTGGTAGTCCCCGGACACAGAGCAGTGCCCCATGTGGGGGCAGAGCCTGGGGAGGAGAAGGGCAGGACAGAGGGAGACCCCCTTCTTCCCTCAGAGTCCCGCTCGGCCTACTGTCCCCCAGTCTGGGCCCCGAGGTGCTCACTGGACGCTGGTATCCCGAGACAGCCAAGATTGGGCTGGGAAGGAGGCGGGGCATGTGTAGGAAGGGACACCCGTGGGAAGTCACGGGAAGCACGGAGACCCTGGAGGAGGGGCACGATGAGCAGGGCAGGCCCGTCTAGAGGCAGCCTCATGGGATGGAAGTCAAAGGTCTGGGGGTGTGGGGGGACAGGATCACAAGGAACCTGTGGCATGCAGAGGCCCCCCAGGAAGTGCTGCACGGAGACAGAGACTGTGCTGACGGCGGCCTGGGAAAGC